CTGTCTTTATATTCATTTCAAGACTGTTTGCTTTAAATTGTTGGAGCATTTTTACACTTGATCTTAGCCAAAAAGTGGAGAAGCGATTGTTGGAGTATTTTTATAATAGCTTCTTTAAAGTCTTTTTTAGATAATTCCAATTGCTATGTCATGTGTCATCTAAGCACTGGTGTCTATTGAATGCCTTTTCAATAGGCAATCAATAGTTGAGATTCTTATGGTTCTTCATGTGCTAAATAATTTTGGGCTGTAGTCTGGACATTTAAAATATTATGTTATGGGGCTTTATATCTTGTTTTAATTGCATGGAGGAATATTCATATTTTTGTTTTAGCTTGTAGTCAACTTGGTAGGGTCCAGATCGTAAGTTCTGACCTGCCTTTTGTGGATCATGGCTCCAAAGTCAATTCAGTTTTCAAAAGTTTTACAGTGCTATTTAGATCTGTCCCACATGTGTTTTAACCAGTGGCTAGTCTAGGATCTGGGTGGCGATCTGTTTCTTAGTTCAGTTACCACAGTCTTTGGTAAGCTATGTAAGATCAGATCCACATGCAGGTTGGGGTGAACCTAGGAGCTCATAAAACAATGTGATAGGGTTGTTTTCCTAAGCAACTCCCTCTGCATAATCTCCCTGTTACTTTGCTACTCCTTGGAGTTCCCCTTTTCAATTCTTTGGCAAGAAATCTGAGTCTTTATTTACTCCTCTCTGCCGTGCACTTCCTGCAAATTTCACTCATGTCTGGGGCCAAGTAGTAGGAGGGCAGAGAGAGAAAAAATATATATAAATAGGGGGTTGCTCCACTGGCTTGGGACCATAGCTACTCCAATCAGAGGAAATATCTCCCCTCCCTTGTCATTTTAGGCACTTGAGAGCACTGCTCCCTCCATTGTCATGGTTGACTCAGCTGTCATAGGGGGATTGCCTATTGGCTAGGGTATGAGAGATTGGAGAAAAGAAAAAATGGTACTTCCCTATTTTCTCTGAACATTAGGAGATCTATTTCTTGCTTGTCCTGTTGTGCTTTCTGTCCATGTCAATGCCCCCTACTGGGTTTTGGGCTGCCTTGAGTCCAGTCCAGTGGCTACTGGAGGGAAAAAAATTGTAAACTCGCTGCCAGTTGTTTTACTTCAAATTTGGGTGTTTTTCCTCAAATCACCTGGTACAATGTATTTTTTAGAGTCCTCAAATAGCTGCTCCATGCATTCTGTTCAGGTTTTATAGTTGAATTCAGTGGGAGAGAATGGGTTGAGTGATTATTCTGTGTTAACTGGAATCAGAACCCTTGTATCATATACATTAGTTTTCATATATAAATATATATAGATAATGGAGTGTTTTCTTTGGTGTATATTTGTGAATAGCTGGGACTAATCTTTTCATACTCTACCTGAAGCAACCACTTTATACTATAAATACTCTTCTGGTTATCTATTGCTATGGGAGAAATCACCCTCAAACTTAGTAGCTTAAAATAACATAAATTATGTTATTATTATCTTATAGATTCAGGTATTGATTAGGCTCAGCTAGGTGGTTCTTCCTTGTGGGGGGGCAGTCTCTCATATGTTTATAGTAAAATGGTATCTGGGAATGAAATATCTGAAGGCTCACTCATTCATGTGTGTGGCATTTGGTCTGGGAACATTCAGAAAGTTTGGCTTCTGTGGCGTCTGTCTCTACTGCTATGTGGTCTCTCCATGGTTTCTCCAGCATGGAACCTTCAAGATAGATTTCTTTTTTTCCCAGCTTTATTGAGGTATGATTGACATATAACATTGTGTAAGTTTAAGGAATACAACATGTTGATTTGATACACCTATATATTGCAATATGATTACCACCATAGCATTAGCTAATGCCTCCATCCTGTCACATAATTACCATTTCTTTTTTTGTGGTGAGAACATTTAAGCTGTACTCTTGTAGCAACTTTCAAGTATATAGTACAGTATTATTATCTATAATCACCATGCTGTACATTAGATACCCAGAACTTGTTTATCTTTTAACTGGAAGTATGTACTTTTTGACCAACATCTCTCCATCTCTTCCACCCCCCAGCCCCTGGTAACTACCACTCTACTCTCTGTTTCTATCAATTTGGTTTTTTTAGATACTACATATAAGTAAGATCATACAGTATTTGTTTTTCTGTCTGGCTTATTTCAGTTAGCATAACACCCTCAAGGTCCATCCATGTTGTTGCAAATGGCAGGATTTCCTTCTTTCTCATGGCTGAATAATATTCCACGGTGTATGTATATACCACGTCTTCTTTATCTATTCATCTGTTGACAGACACCTAAGTTGTTTCCATATCTTGGCTATTGTGAGTAATGCTGCAATGAACATGGGAGCACAGATATCTCGATGAGATCCTGATTTCAATTTCTTTGGATATATACCCAGGAGTGGGATTGCTGGATCATATGATAGTCCTATTTTTAGTTTTTTGAGGACCCTCAGTACTGTTTTTCATAGTAGCAGCACCAATTTACATTCCCACCAACAGTGCACAAGGTTTCCCTTTTCTCCACATCCTCACCAGCAATAATTATCTCTTGTCTTTTTGATAATAGCCATTCTGACAGGTGTGAGGTGATATCTCATTATGGTCTAGATTTCTTACATGGAAGCTCAGGGCTCCAAAGTGAGTGGAGAGCAAGAGCATTAAGAGTGAGCCAGGGGCTTCCCTGGTGGCGCAGTGGTTGAGATTCCGCCTGCCGATGCAGGGGACACGGGTTCATGCCCCTGTCCGGGAAGATCCCACATGCCACGGAGCAGCTGGGCCCATGAGCCATGGCCGCTGAGCCTGCGCGTCCGGAGCCTGTGCTCCGCAACGGGAGAGGCCACAGCGGTGAGAGGCCCGCGTACCGCAAAAAAAAAAAGAGTGAGCCAGGCAGGAACCCGATTGCCTTTTACGACGTAGCTTTACAAGTTACCACATTCTATTCTTTGAGGCAGTAAGGGTCTACCGAGGTTCAAGATGCCACCTCTTAATGCAGGAGTGGCAAAGTTATGGAAGAGCATGTGGGATTGGAAACCCGGTTTCTGGCGCTTTTGGAAAACACGATCTGCCGTAAGTACTAAGAAATCTGTACTTTTTTTTTTTTTGCGGTACGTGGGCCTCTCACTGTTGTGGCCTCTCCCGTTGCGGAGCACAGGCTCCGGACGCGCAGGCTCAACGGCCATGGCTCACGGGCCTAGCCGCTCCACGGCATGTGGGATCTTCCCGGACAGGGGCATGAACCTGTGTCCCCTGCATCGACAGGCGGACTCTCAACCACTGCGCCACCAGGGAAGTCCAGAAATCTGTACTTTTAAGGTAGCTCCTGAGTTGTCCTCAGTGTTACCTATAGAGAGAAGCTTTTCCCTTGACTTTTGGGAATCCAAGAGGCTGTGATATTAAATATTATGCTCAGTGAACATGGCTTTTAGTGACTCTCCAGAAATTAGATTTTCAGCAAACATGGCTTTTAGTGAGTCTCCAGAACTTAGATCAAGTTTTCCCATTGGTTAACTTTCTCTGTGACTATCCACATTTTTAGTGTTTGCAGTTTCATTGGGAACCTGCGTGGAACTTCAAGGTATACTGATTTTGTAGGGGCTGTGTGACAGTCTGGAGGAACAGGGAGAGATGCTACCTAAAATCCAGATGAAGAGATTCCCCTGCTGCAAAGAAGGTACTGGGCAGCCTTGGCAGTGTGCTCACCTAGAGGGGAACCAGGAAGTCTGCAGTGCTCCACAAATCTTTCCTACCTAATACCATCTCTACCCTATTACTACTCCTTTTAGTTAAGCATTGCTCTCTTCAATGAATCCTCTTAAAAATGCAGACTCCTCTGGGAGACAAAACTTGGACAGTTGGTACGGATTTCAGAGTGGTTCAATAAACGCTTATGAGCACAGTGCTAGGTGCTGGGAATTCGGTGATTAACTCAATCTCTCTTTTCTTCCTTGACCAGAGGAACAAGGTAGATTGAAAATTCTTGTTCCTGAGGATTTGTTCCAAGAGGCTTTATCATTTAGAGTCCACTTTACGATTTTTTTTCCAGACCTGGGCCCGGTCTTAAGAATCACCAAAAACTCCCTGGGCTACGAACAGGTCAACATAAAAGGGCCACTAGGGTAATTGCCCCTCCCCAACCACCTGCTGCTCATCTACCTGGAATGGCAAGTGTCCAGTTCCTTCTGGTTCAACCCGCTTCCCCCTGAGGGTTAGTTACACAGTCCAGAATAAGAAGTCAGTCTACTTGCCAAGTGGTAAAGGGGCTATTTTCACGCTGTTCCCTCATTTCAATCCCTTATCGGTCCTCACTTTGGGTCAGGCTAAAGCCGAGGTTTGAATGAAGCCTGGCGGATTCTGGGAAGCCCGGAATGCTGGAAGGCACTCTGAGAGACGTGGGAAGAGAGGTGTAGGGGGTAACGTGGCTTCGAGGCTCCTCGGCTTCTCCAGAGTCCCCACTTTACTGGGCCCAGGGCGGCTACACACTGGCCGGAGATCAAATACTTCGAGTGGTCCCAGACACAGGACTCAAGACCGCACATCCAAGAGGATGCTCCTGCCAGGCACGGGCGACCTCTGGCGTCCCGTTTACGAAGCGCGGCGGCGAGTGCCCAGGAAGTGGCCCCGCGAGCCCAGACGGCCTGGCCAAGTACGCTGGGACCGGGCGAGGAACGCAGAAGGCGAGGGGCCAGCGGTCCCGCCCGCAGGCTGGAGGTCGACAGGCGACCCCGCTGGGGCGGCGGCGGGGCGGGCGCGCGGCGCGGCCGGGGGCCGGACAGGTGCGCGGGAGGGGGGCGGTGCTTGGGGATCCTGCGCACTGCGCGCGCTCCTCCCCCAGCGCGGCTCCCGGCGCGGCCCGGGCCCCGGCGCGAGCTGGAGGAGGAGTTGCGGCTTCAGCGGCCACTCGGGCAGGTCGGCGGCGCCACGGGAAGCCGCCGACGGCGCGGGCTGCCTGTCCCAGCGCGCAGGAGGCGCGCGGGCGGCGCTGGGGCCATGGAGCCTGGTGACGCGGCACGCCTCGGCCCGGAGCGGGTGGTTCGGGCGCTGCCACCGCGGCTGCTGCTGCTGCCGCTGCTCCCGCTGCTGCTGGGTCGGGGGCTGCGCGCGGCGGCCTCGGCCTCCTCCTCTGGGGCGGCGGCCGAGGACAGCAGCGCCATGGAGGAGCTCGCCACGGAGAAGGAGGCGGAGGAGAGCCACCGGCAGGACAGCGTGAGCCTGCTCACCTTCATCCTGCTGCTCACGCTCACCATCCTCACCATCTGGCTCTTCAAGCACCGCCGGGTGCGCTTCCTGCACGAGACCGGGCTGGCCATGATCTACGGTGAGCACCCCGCACCCGCGCCCACCGTCCCCGACTCCCCTCGGCCGCCCGGGCTGCTGCGCTCTCCCCCGCCCCTCGTCGCCGCCTTGTGCTCCCCCTTCACTTGCCGACGTGTTTCGTTTCTTTTCCGTTTCCCGCTGCGACGGGCTTGGTTCCCAAGGTCAACTGTCTGCATTTTCCGGCTCCCTATTACCATGAAAAAGAATTCCACTCCATTTCGACGTTTCTTCAAGGGGAACCGGGAAAATGAAAGGCACCGGGGTGGCCTGGTTCTGTCCGATCGGTTCTGTCTCAGCTTCGCCCCCTCTCGCGCCCCCGCCCCAGTTCAGCTCCACAGGGTGTGTGCGGTGGCGGGAGGTGGGTGACCTCCCAGGGACCGCACCGCCCCAGGAAGCAGGCCACCGTGAGGGTGGGGCGAGGGCTGAGCGTTCCTCGGCTTGGGTAGCGGCTGACGGGGCTTGGTGGATGCCGCCGCGTCCATGGTCAACCTGGGTGGGCGCCCACTTCTGACATCTGTGTTCCCGGATCTCTCGTGAATAAAGTCGAAGCTTGAAGCACTGTGAAAGGTGAGCGTGGTCCAGGACTTAAGAGTGGTGCACCGCCATGGCGGGCCTAGTTGGGGAGATGGGCACGCCTCCCACCCTTATGTCCAGGTGGGAAGTTTTACCCAGTTACTTGCCTTCTCTAAGCTAAGAGGAGCTTTCCTATTCCTCAGATTGTAAGAAGGACGCGACTTCGAAGATACATTTAAGGGTGTATGGAGAGGAAAAGTAGTGGTTTTAATTCTGGAGTCAGCCTTCTTTTGTTGTGAAAGGTGGGCTAATGCCACCATCCTTTTCTGGATTTAATGGCACACGGGGTTTTACATGCACAGTGGTCAGCACAAATCTTCCGTTACTACATGGATGTCAGCCACAATCTGAATCATCACTCTTCCCCCCGCCA